CGCTGGCTGTGCTTCCTGGCCTCAGCCAGGGCGATTCCAGCCTTCCTCCGGTCCCACAACCACAGGCTGGTGATCGGTCTCTAGCACAGCGCTGCCAGGGTGGGGCTGGACTCCAGGAGGTTGAAGCAGGGGGACCGCAAGTTCAAGCCCCCTTTGGGCAACTGAGGGACTTAGTGAGACCCTGTCTCAAAATAAAAAAACTAAAATGGGTGGGGGTTTAGCTCAGTATAAGCGCCCTGGGTTCAGTACCCGGTATCAGTAAAAAATTCCAGTGGGACCCAGGACACTAGGAGCAATAAATTTCAGCCTGTCTGAACCAAGGCTATGTGTTCAGACGTCTCCGCCCCATCTCCGCACCCCCAGCTCAGGCCGTTTCCTGACATTATGAATCTGTTTGTGTATCTGGTTCCTCTCATTCCCTTCCAACTCACTCATCAAGGTTTTCTGACTCCTGATTGTCGATTGTCTGCCAGTATTATTGTTCTCATAGGATTAAGACAGTCTTTCTGCTACTTGGGTCTGCGCTAGGATAGTTGTAGGTGAAGTTAAACAAAATTGGGAGTTATTTTTGATTCCTCTTTGGTGCTGTCTTGATATTCAATGTATCAGCAAGTGCTGCTGCTTTGCCTTCCACATGTTGTCCTCGGATTCCCCTCCTGCACACCAGCGCTGTGCCTTTAGAACGTCTTTCCTTTGGGTGCACACGGAAGCCCCTCCCTGGGATCCCAGCTACATTCTTTCGCATTGTTTGGACGTTTCTCATAGAGCATCCAGAATGGTCTTGGAAAGCCGGAGTGTGTCACAGCACATAGAGGCATGTGGTCAATATATGTTTGTTTGTTTGTACCGGGGATCAAACTCAGGTCCTTGTGCTTACAGGGCACGTGGTAGAACCACTGAGCTAAATCCCCGGCCTGTGGTCAACTTATGATCTGTCCTCTAAATATACTTTGAATGTTTAAACTAACACATGACTACTGTAAAAGATCCATTGCCACTAACCTTCCTCAAAGTACTCTCCTTTGCTTGGCACATCCGTTCCATCGTGCGTGCCCCTTCCTGCAGCAGTTCTAGAAGTCCTCTTTCCCGAGGACGTTAGTTGTGCTGTCCTGGCCGCCTCCATGTCCTGAATCGATTCCGAACGTTTCTCTTTCTTGGTCATTTTAACTTTGGAGAGAGCCAGAAATTGCTCAGTGCCAGATCCAGTGGCTAAGGATGCTCCGTATTTTGATAAGCCTGCCTTCTGGTGGACAGCGCACGGCAGCGGCATTCACTGCATTTTTGGATCATGACTGGTACAGAAATTTACGAACGAGGCCTCCAGAACTGCTTCAGAAAGTGGCAAGAACTGTGGGATAAGTGTGTTCAAAGCCAGGGGGAGGAGGATTCACGGCACAGTGTCTTTGACCGTAACACATTCCTAAAATGTGAGCGTTCACTACAGACGCTGATACCCCCGTGGCTGAGCAACAGAGCGGTGACTGCTTCTTGCATGGGAAGCCACCTCTTGGCCAGTCTGCCTGTGTCAATCATCTCAACAGCTTTGGGTTTTAATTTTCATACGCAGGGACCTCTTTGGAACACTGGCTCGGCTAGAGAAATAGAATCCTCAGCCAAACTGTGTATCTTCTGGAATTTCATGTTGTGTACTGTGAGGATTTTGAGCTGAGTATAAAGCTGGGGGACACGTGCTACATTTTTTCTTGGTAACTTTTAAATTTTTGTTCTATCTCTGTGATCACTGCCCTCCACGATGCAGGTTTGGGGAGGTGGCCAGGCATGCAGTGTAGACACTCTTTGCTTTTCCTTCTGGACTCTCTTAACCACCCTCAGGGCCTGTCCTGTCCGGGCAGCAGTGACTTCTGCTGGATTTTCTAATCTGCCACACTAACTCTTTAGTTTGGCAATCTTCTCCCCGCTCTGTTTCCTTATCTCTTATCGCAATGCGCATTTTCAACAAGGGGCTTCATTTCCTTCCTGAATTTCACATCGAATAACTGTTTACACTTTTTCCAGACACTTTTGATCTCTGCTGAAATGGCTCCAGATCAGCTTTCTAAATGCTCTAATTTTAAAGCAGCTTAAAAATAGAAATGAAAAGGAGAGAAGGTAAAAAATTGGAGGCATTAAAACACTGTAATTGGGAAGAGACAAAACTGAAAGAGACTTTGTGAACAAGGCCCCCTAGAAGTGAAGCGAGTTAGCCGAGTGGAGAGATCTAAGAATACGGCCGCGGCTTCCCCTCTATTGTTTCATGTAATTGCAAGGTTGCTGCTGAGGGAAGAGAGACAGGCCTGGAGGAAGAGAAAGGCAAGAGCCAAGGTAGGCTTGGGAAAGAACTGCATGTGTACTGAATCACAGGATTTAGGGAAAGTAGAGAGGACAGAAATTTGCTAAGCTTTCAAGGGAAGCAAATGGCTAAGAAACTGTGAACCTGGGTTAGAAAGCTCCTTAACTACCGAGTCCTGAGCACATTTCAGGCTGGCAAACTTGCACCAGCAGGAGCTTGGCTGTAAAGAGGAGCAGCCCCAGCTGTGGAACCTCAAGCCTTTCAGGTGCCCTCCCAGGAGGATCTCAGAAGCTCTGTGGGCAGTAAGGGCTGTGTGTGGTGGCCCCCTTTCCAACACAGGTTTAAATGTGCCATTTTGTCCCTGCCTCACCACTGTACATCGGGTGTATGCAGAAAGGGGTTGGGCAGGTGGAGGAGAAGAAACTTTCCTCTTTAGTTGCTAGGTCACTGGACCACCAGGACACCCAATGGAGAGTGCTGCTCAGTGGGTGCCAGTCTTGAGCTCGGGGCTGGGTGTGGCGACAGGGTAGGGTAAGTGTTGAGGGAGTGTGGAGGAGGCCCTGAGTGACTGCAGACATATAGAGACCAGCGGAGTCGATCAAAGCCTCTCCTCTGCCTTGTGGTGCACAGCTTGTGTCTGGGGTTAAAGTTAAAAGGAGCCATGGGCCTGAGTCCTGGCCAGTGGAGTAGGGCTGGAATTGATGGACAATCCTTCCAGCTTTGGCTCCTCTGAATCTCCCTTGAGATCCACCCACTGAAGGACTCTGTGGACTCAGGGATGGGCAGAGCCACTAGAGGGCAGGATCCTGGGCCCCTGATAACCACGTGGAGCAGAGCCTTTGACATAGACTGAGACGGGGCATGAGTGGGAAACAAGCCTTCACTGTATGAGATTTGGGGATCATCTGTTCTCGTGAGTAGCCTACCTTGACCAGTGCAATCACCAAAGCTACATGCAATGAGTCTGGAGGATGTGTTGGTTTCCTCTATCAACCTCCTACTTCCTGTCACCAAGTCCAGTTGACCCCACATCCATGGCCTCAACCCACTGAGGTATGAAAATATTGAGATAATTTGCTTCTGTTCCAAACATGTGCAGGTTGTTGGTCCCTAAACAATACAATAGAACAGTGATTTGCATGACATTTACATTGCGTTAGGTGCTATAAGAACCTAGGGAAGATTTAAAGTATAAGGATGAAAGGCATCGCTTATATGAAAACATTACACCATTTTACAGAAGGGACTTGAACATCCATGGAGTTTGGTATCCAAAGGGGGTCCCAGAACCCATGGATCCTTATCACCATGGATCCCAAGGGGTCGCTGCAATTGTAGGGAAGCTCAGGGGCTAAAAGCTTACTTCTGACTGAGACTGGAACTTTTCTCCCCACAATGTCCCATATTGGTCTTATCAGAGTCAGTCACCGAGTATTAGTGACTTTCTAAACCCAGATCTACTACGTACTAGCTGTGCAACCTTATCACATACTACCCTGTCCTCACCTTAGTTCCCTTATGGGTGTCATGGTTAGAGTAAACTGAGTTAATCTACTCAGAGTGCTCAGCACAGCAGCTGACATATAGTGAATGCTCAATAAATGTCACCATCACCACCATTTGCTAGGTATATGGCTGGCCTTAGGAATAACACTGCATGAGACACAAGGACTAGTCTTCTGTGAGATGTCTGCTCATTTTGGGACCTTTATTTTTGATTTTGCACTTGTACAGTGAAGTCTATGTAAAATATTTAATAAGAAAGGTTTTGCTTCCCTCCAATGTACTCCAGAAAATGCTGATTATAGTCGGGGATGTCCTTTGTTTATCTGAATGTCATGAGTCAGTGTCTGTGTCCCCTTAGTGGGTTAACTCTGTGAGTGCAGTTTTTGTAGGTTCCCTGTGGCATCTGGAGTGGGAGAAATAGAGGGATGTTAACTCCCTCTTGGCGGAAGGAATCACTTCCTGCTTAGAGCCACTTCCTGTTTGGGTTGACTTCCTGTTCCTACTTAGAGTACTGGAATAAACATGGCTGCTACTGTACTTAAGAGGAACTCCTGCCTCCTTATTCTGCCCCTGTTCTCAGGGTACACTTCCAATAATCTCATTTCTGACAGTGTGTAGGCAACATTTGCAAGACCCAGGAGGTTCAGAATTCTTTCACTTCTTTATTAATCTTTGAGAATAAGAATTAAATTTATGCCACTAATGGTCTTGTGCACCCCCCATACCATTCATTTAGACATCTGGTTTACCTGTCCACCCCAGTTAATGTCTATTTGCCCACACTGCTGGCTCGGGCCATCTCTCTGCCACATATTCCCCAAGGATGCCAATTAGGCAGGCATACCCACTTGCCTTGGCATTTTTTATGAATGACCCAAACTGCAAACACCAACATGTATAAAACATATGTTCTCTTCCTTGTGTAATTTCAGATACCAAAATATGCCTACACACAGGGATATGTGCATGCAGACACATGCATATTCTTTTTGCCTGGTAGAAAAAGGCTTCTCTGATGTTTCTTCTACTCCCACACAAACCCCTCTGTGGCTGGCACGTCTCCTAACTATTCCCATCTTCTCCCTCCCGGTAGACCTTTTGTGTGTGTATATTTTGGCACACATCCTTTTGGTTCCGCCTAGTTCCTTTCTGTCTCTCTTTCTCTGCCTCCCTCTCTACCTCCTCTTCACAACTCTTAAGAAAATTTGTTAAACTATACACGCTTTATTATTAATGTACATTTATGAAAAATTCTTCACAGTTACAAAAGTGCATGGTTATAAAATCAGCTCCATACAAAGGTCGACATCTTCCCTTGCGCCCCTCCCCCTCCCCAGCCCTCCCATGGCCAGAAAGTGGTCCTCGGCAGGGCAGTGCTTAGAAAAGCCAAGAGCCCTTTGGGTCCAGCTCTCCCACCGGTGCTCTGGCAAAATGGTGGTGGTTTACAAAAGGACCTTGCGACTTGCCTCCCTGGCTTCCCTTTTGCCTTCTTCTGGGGTGGGGGAGAACAGACAAACTTCTCTCACTTTGGAAGATGTCCTCTGGAGGAATGAACAAAGGTAGCTCCCGAGGGAGCTAACCAAGCTGTGCACTGGGGGAGAGAGGTGGGGGCCGGGGGTCTTCTTGGATGGGTGAAGTGCCTGTCTTGGTCTGTTTAAACCCTGAACATCTCACTCCTCGAAAGGGGCCCTGGGACTCTAGTACTTCGGGGGAACTGTTTCTGCACGGTTCCCTGGGAATCCTGTAAGAATGGAAAGAGACAAGAATTTGCTTGAGGGTGACCCGAGGCAGCTTGTCCGCAGTGCCATGGTGGAGCTGGGGTCTCTTTCTAAAGACTGATTTCTTCACTCAGATCTCGACCATCACAGCCCTGTTGGCTTGTTAAGGTTCCCTGTCCTCAGGTACGCACGAAGAAAACTTCAGATATGAGGACAAGTCTCTGAGGGGTACAGGAGGACGGAGAGAGGGAGGCAGGGAGGAGTCAGGTCCTCATGAGGATACTTGTGCTGCAGAGTTTTTCCTTTTATATTTTCTGAGCAGCCAGACCACCCCAGACGGGGTAGGCTTCTACCTTTGCATAGCGCAGCGTGATGTGCTGACCGTCAGATGGCGGAGTGGACGGTGTCAGAGAGATCCACGTAAATTCCAGAGATCTCCCCAAGGCAGCAGATAGCCAGCAAAAATGGAACCTTGGAGATGACATTTGGACAGAGACTCTCATCCCACATGTTAGCCAGGCGAGCAGACACAGTAAAGCCCTGTGGAGACAGCAGATGGCTTTGTGCTCACCAGGAGGGCTGGGTTCTTCTAGAAGCTCAGTTCTGACAGATTAAAGAAGACGGCGGTGGTGCTAGCGAGGTGTAATATTCCCCTAACTGTGCTTTAGTTAACCAGGGACTTTCTAGGAGCTAGAGAGGCATACGTCTTCTCAGAAACCTTTGCCTTTAGTGGAGAGCAAATCGTCCCCCCAGAAAGGACATTTGATCTCAAGGGCATTTGCTACCTTGTCTGCTTCTAGCTCTATGCAAAAAAAGAGGGGGAAAAAAGTACATGTTTTAAAATGCATCACCTATATTTTAGCAAGACAATAATCCCTGGGAGAGTATTATAGATGAACACGGCGTTCCTCTAGCGGAAGGTTGTTTTGTCTGGACTATTATTTCTAAAAGTTCCTGTCCGAATGCTGTAGGCTCCAGCCCCGACTGGTGGACAGCAGCTGGAGCCCGCCTTCCTTGGCCAGAGTGGGAGGACAGAGCAGGGCACAGGTCGGCTTCGGATGTCACGGGGGCAGAGCTCAGGTCCCAATTCAGGGGACGCAAGGTTGCAGTTTCTGGGGACATTTTTAGTCGACCAGCTCAGGGTGGGTGGTGGCGGGGAGACTTCTTTGAAGTTTATGCCTCCTCCTTCATTTATTTCTGCCCTATGGGAGGTTAGGACGGTGGAAACCTTTGGGGCTCAGGGCAAGAAAGAAGCTGGTGGCCAGCCTTGCTGACTGTGCCTCAAAGTCTGCCCTGCTCCTTTGGGGTGTCTGTATGAGGTATGATGTGAAATACAGGGAGCACTGCTGCCGAATGCCTTCCAAGGGAAAGGCAGCTCATAAAATCATGATGCTGTGTCCTCAGCTACCCTTCATTGCATCCGGCACTGGGTGACTTCTGGCTCTTCCCCAAAGTCAAAATGACGACAAAAGGGAAGTGTTTTTTATAGATTCAGGACATAGAGGCAGCCAGGACAGAGTAACTAGAGACACTCAGGAAAGAGGACTCCAGAGCTGCTGCAGAAACTGGCCAGGACGATGGGTGAGTGTCTGAGCAAGGTGGGGCATCTTGAGGGGATTCGTGGTCTTGTGTCTTTCACTGTAATAAGTTAAAAGTTGAAACACTGACCACATTGCTTGATCACGCCTCATAAAGCGGGTCTCCCCTCTCCGGATGTCCCCGTGCCGCCTGCTTCCGGGGCCTGTTTGTCCCACAGCGAACTCATCTCAGTCTGCCACGGCATTTCCCTATCATTAGCTGATGGATTCACGACACTGAGTCCTACAGCTCCACAGCTTAGCCCTCCCAGGCGGCCTCCTCCGCCAGTACCCCGAAAGGTGCCCGGAAGAGCCCCGCACCGGAGTTGAGCCTCACCTTGCCACTTGGGTGAGGCAGACTGGATGTCAGGGTCCCCGGTATTCCCTTTGCCCCTTGTAAGGGGGGTGCAAAGCCAGGGAGAGGGACCCGAATGAAGGCCCTTCCTGAACCGCCCTGTGCTGAGCCACCAGGGAAGGTGATGTTGGGCACAAGAACGATGACAGCCGTGCCATTAACTGTGCCTTGCACGTCGCTGGGTTTGCTGACAGACTCGCTGCAGTTTCCCTGAATAGAGGTGCCTGCCCCTTTCTCTGAGGGGTCACCCAGGTGAGCTGGGGTACAGTCTTTGGGTCTCTACCACCCAGTCATCTGCGAAGCGGGGATCATGGAAACCCGGGCAGGGTTGTTGGAAGAACTGATGGAATTGAGTCAATGGCTGTGAAGCTTCCCAGAGCGGTGCTTGACCCTCGCTGGCCACCTGAAATCTGAAATTAGGGGGAGAGGGGTGGGGCAGCAGAAGCATCAGACTTTCTTGGATTCTGAAGCAGCAGCGATTTCGCCGCTCCTCGCCTGGCCCTCCTCAGCTGTGAGGCAGGAACAGCGATGTCCCCTCTGGAGCTGAGCGCAGAATGGGCAGAGCCAGCGCCAGGAACAGTAGCGCTCCCACCCTGACGGTCAAAGCCTGAGCTGTGAGCAAACCCATCCGCTCCAGCCCTGGGGGTGTCATGCTGTGGGTCTGCGGCCCAGGCCAGTTCCCTGGGGAGACCCCAAGGCCTGGGCGAGTGGCAGAGCCAGGGCTGGGAGGCCGGGAGGTGGCACGGGGCCCTCACCAGGAGGTGTCTCGCCTGGCCGCGTCTGCCTGCAGGAGGCTGAGGCAGCAGTTGGCAAAGCAGTTGACGAAGCCCACACGTCACTCCACGCTTGTTCTTTTCGGATTCCTCGAGGCCGGGTTCAGGTCCTGCCCCGGGCTGCTGTAACTGCTCAGGCTGTGGGCTCAGGCTCAGGACGTGTGGGTACAGAGGGGCAATCACCGCTCTCTCCTCCACCAGGAGGCGCCTGGAGGCAGGACTGCATGGAGTCATCTGTCCGGCCCAGTGGCCCGTGCTCACTCACCTGAGGTCCTGAGCCACGTCGAGGGTGGCCAGGCACTCCGGAACCCGAGTGGGAGCCCGGGAGGGTGGCGAGCGCCTTCCTCAGATCTCCTCCTCCTCGCTGGCCTTGCTCCAGCGGTGGCAGCAGTTGGCCGTGATGCCCAGCAGGAAGTTGGTGGCCACAGAAGCGATGGAGACCACGAAGCCCACAAACGCGATGAAGAGGTAGTCGTCCAGGGTCAGCGTCAGGTGGCAGGCCTTGAAGCTCTCCTCAGTGAGCGAGAAGAGGGGCGCGCCCTCGACCTCGGGGGGCCCCCGGCACTCGGCCAGCTGGGAGTCTGCAACACAGAGCCAGGAGGATGAGGAGGCTGGGTGAGAACGGACCCGGGCGTCCCCACCCCACCCAGGAGAAAGGAAGTCTCGAGTGTCCTCCACATGCCAAAGCTTACTTCCCTTCTTCAGTCTCCCCTATTTCTATGGGTGTGAACATTCGCTGCTTGGAGAGTTGGAGGATCTGCCTATGGTGGCCTGGGCTTTGCGGGGAGGCCGTCATCTCTGACAACGGGCATCCCACCTGGGCCCCCCGTGGGGTGACCCTTCCACCCTTCCCGAGCTCACATGGGGCAGAAGCCCGGGTACCACCATGGGCTCCGAGACACTTTCCTGTGTCTTCCTTTCTGTTCCCTCCCACTCCCGTCCTCCTCTGCCTCGGACCCTGGGTCTCTGTCCCTTGCGGGGTCCTTTTCCCTGGGTCTCCCCACAGCCTGGGCCCTCACTTCCTCTGGGACTTCACTCAGTACCCCTTAATCATGCAGTTCCCCTTACGATTCTGCATAAAACAGCAACCCCCCTTTACCTGTCCTTGGAGGCCCCATCCTACCGACACGGCTTCATTTCTCTGCAAGTCACTGAGCTCCACCTGACAGTTTCTCTGTTTATTGTGTGTCTTCCCCTCCTTGGATATAAACTCTGCTTGCCCTTACGATCGTCAGCATCAGAATTCTGTCCCGCCCACAGTAAGGGCCCAGGTAACTTTGTGGGGTGAATTCAGGACTCTGCCCCTCTCCAGTCTTTCTGCTGAGCAGTGTGGCTTCCCAGACACACAGGGCACAAGGCCAGGAACATGAGATCCCCTTGAACCTCTCCCGTTGTGTGGGCATCAGGCAAGCCGCCTCGTGCCTCCGTGTCTGGCTCTCCTGTCTGCTAGACAAGGGGAGTAAGAGCATCACCCCGGGCTGTGGCGAGGCTCAGTGAGTGAGGGTATATAAGGGAGTCCCTGGTGTCAGGAGGCTGAGACACTGTGGTTACCGGCCCCTCCTGCCCCCACCCCCGGCCGACTCCGTAGGAGGGGCTGCTCCTCTCCTCTCCTGTTCACTCCACCGCTGAGGCCCCACCGTGTCCTTCCGGGGCCTCCTTTTTATGAATGGGTGACAGTGCCAGTGGAGGCAGGCATGGCGGGCATGAGGGGCCCTTCGCCATGGGGCACTAGGTGCTGGATCGTACCAGCCAGTCAGACCTTCGCTCAGGGGCTCAACACTAACCGAGCCCCTGCCTGCTTCTCATGCGCTGCCTCAGTAAGAGGGGGTAGCCCAACCTGAATTTCCCCAGACAGTTAGTGTGAAGCTTTCAATTAGGGGTGCATAGCTGCTCTGTCTTTGTTCTGCAGTTTAGGGGTAAAGAACAAGAAGGTGGACTTGGATCCCTCAGGAATGGGGGTCCAGTTGGGAGGCAGGTGGGCCCCCCCAGACCCCAGGCCGTCATCCTGTCGGCTGTTGGACAGGACCTGGCCTGCCCAGGCCAAGACGGTGCCCGGAGCGGCCCACCAAGAGTACAGCTTCCCCGGGACCCGGAGGACGCCCGGCTCCAGGACTCCTGTGTACGTGAGCTGAACAGCAGCGTGACAGCTCAAACTGGGGCACGCGGACCAGCCAGAGGGGCCACGGAGGACTGCACAGGACGCAGGACGGACGCAGGGGAGCCACATGTAGATCCTGAAGTCAGACTGCATCCCGAGAGCTCCCTCAATCTTTCTGTGCTTGCGTTTGCCCCAAATCATGGATCGGAGTGAGAATCCCAGCAGCAAGACACCGGAGAAACACCGAAAGGGAAATGTCACCCAGTTCTGCCCGCCCTTTGTGCGGGGAGGACACCCGGGAGCTGGCATGGTCCCGTGAGTGCCCGGTGAGGAGTGGGTCGCTGGCCACGTGGCCTGCCTGCCCCTCCCCGCGGCCAGGCGTCTCGCCTGTTCTGCTAAGGGAGGGACCTTGGGCTGCTGTTCTGCCTGCTGGGGTCTGGGCTCCCCAGGGCCGCAGGTGGAGGGCAGAAGCTGAGCGCTCAGGACAGAGAGGGCTCTGGCTGCAGGGGCTGACCTGGTGGGCGACCATGCTCCATCTCAGCCCAGCTATTCAGTCCCGGGAGAGCCCTCCTCCCACAGCTCTGTGGACTGCAATGGCGACCCACAGCCCCCCACTGTTTTGGGCTTGGGCTCCCCACTCGGTCCTCCTCATCCCCGTACCTCACAGTGAGCACGCAGTGTCCAGGCTGGGGAAGAGCCCCAGGGCGGCCCAGCGACTGTCACCCCACGGCTGGGCGGTCCGCCGAGGCTGAGCTCGCCACAGGGCAGCTGGTGGCCCGGCCTGCCACACTGTGCCTGCCCCTGGGCCGAGCTGGAGCCCAGGGGTCCCTCAGACCCATGTGCCTCAGGCCCCTGCAGCCGGTTGGGCTGCCTGGCCCCGCGAGCCCTGCACAGTGTTTGCCAGCCCAGAACTCAGGCTCGCTAGGCTGGAGCATAGCCAGACGGCCAGGGTGCGAATCCTAAGTCTGATACTTCTGCTGTGTGACACAGGGCAAGGCTCCAAGCCACTCCGTGCCTTCATTTCCCCCTCTGTACAGCAGCTGCTCCCTTAGGGCTCTTGTGAAGTTGTGGTGAGCTGAAATGTGGAATGCTTAGAACAGGATGTAGTAGGCAGTAAATGCTAAAATAAACAGTGATTACCACTTCTCCTTTCTGGAGAGTTTTCTTGGCACTTAAGACACTTATAAGGGAGCCTGGTAGAGGAGACTGAGGCTTAGAAGTCAGATAAACCCGCGTTTCTGCACGGCCCTACCACTTTCCAAGAGTGGTCTGAGGTGCCTTTTACTTGGTCTAAATCTCAGTCTATTCACCCAGAATGGGGGTGGCAGGAACCGGGCTCTGGGGAGATGAGGTACGCCGAGTTCTTAGGCCCCAGTGGAAGCTAACAAACAGTGTCACTGTCAGCTCTCCCGCTGGCTTACTACCTGCTTCACTGGTCAGAGTGCCACAGGGGCTGGGGACGCTGGTTCAGGCATGCATTGTAAGAATGGAGCAAACACTTGGAGACGGAGAGCAGGTGCCCAAAGGGCAGCACATTATCACAGACCAGGCCACAGGGAGGCGTCCAGGACCCCCATCTCTCCTCTTTCCAAGCCTTTGCTTCCCCATCCCCTTCCCCGGCCCCCTCCTTACCTGCTGTGCAGCGCTGGATCCGGTTTCGAAGCCACTTGAGCAGGGGCTCCATGGTACAGCCACACACCCAGGGGTTGCCCCCGATCTGCAGGGTCACCAGGCCCGGCAGGCCCTCGAGCGCCTCGAGGCTGAGGAAAGCCAGGCCCCCGTAGCTGAGGTCCAGGTCCCGGAGCTGCATGAGGCCCTGGAAGGCCTGGGGGTGCACCCTGTGAAGCCCGGGGTTGTGGCTGAGGTCGATGTGAACCAGCCCGTGGGCCGCCCGGAACATGTCAGCCGGTACGTGGCTCAGGTTGTTGTAGCTGAGATCCAGGTGCGCCAGGCGCTTGGCGTGGAGGAAGAGGCCTGGGGGCAGCTCTGCCAGGGAGTTGTTGCGCAAGTCCAGCACGTGCAGCTCCATGTAGCAGGTGAGGTAGCCGGGCGGCACGGCGGCGATGCGATTGTGCGCCAGGCTGAGGTTCCGTGTGTCCATTGGCAGGTCTGGGGGCACGGAGAACAGCCGCTGGCTGCTGCAGTCCACCACCTGGTTACGGCAGGTGCATAGGACCGGGCAGCTGGCACCAGCGTCGGAGGGCACCAGCCCGGCTGCCAGCAGGAGGGACAGCAGCAGCATGGCTGGCTGGCGGGGCCCAGGCCAGGGAAGCTGAGCCCAGGCGCCACCCACCTTGGGCAGCCGGCATTGGCAGAGCTGAAGGGGGCCCATCGGGCTGTGTGCATGGACCCAGGTCAGTGCCCGGGAGCAGCCGCATCAGAGGGCACAGTCCTGAAGGGGGGGCTTCTGGCCACGTGGCCCCATGGCGCCAGCTCTCCCGGGGCCTCCCAGAGCCACAGGAAGTCGCCTTTGGAGCCTAGGGGACAGAAACCCAGCCGAGATCCCCCAGGGTCTGAAAGATGATCAAAACTTGAGGAAGGAAGGGGTCAAGGCTGCGGCTGGAGTGGCTGCCAGCAGGCCCCGGGAGGGTCCCTGCCGCTCTTCTGCGCCCCTGTCACCCATGCCTGCCGGACGTGTCCGCTTGATGTCTCGAGGAAGGGGCCGAGGGAGAGGAAAGACGCCCTTTAAAGCTCCTGGCACTTCTGAGGAAACTTAAGCCAGACCTGCACCTGGGCCTGGGGGGGTCCAAGGTCGTCGCAGGGCCGGTTCTCCTGGTGGCCCAGCGGGCAGGAGGGGCAGGAGGTCGTGGGGAGGCTGTGCTGGGAAGGGAGCCTGGAGGAGGGAGGTCTCCATGAGCCTCTGCCGGCCTGGAGTCCTCAGCCTCAGTGGCTGCTGGGACCCCCAGGGGTGCTCCGTCTTCACCAGGACGGGGAGGGTCCCAAGTGACACCCGCTGTCCGGCTTCCCAGAGCTGCGAAGGGCCATGCGTCCTGGGGGTCCAGCGGGGGGAGGGCGGGAGCGTCGCTCTGGGGGCTCCTTCAGGCCTCGAGGTCCAGCTCTGCGTTCAGCAGGTGCGGGCGGAATTCACGCTGTGAACAGGAAGGCGCTCAGGAGCAGAAGAGGGCCTGCACCCTCGCCTCTCAGCTGGGGTCCCCCTTCACCTCACTCTCCCCTTCCCCCTTCCTTTGACTCCAACCACAAAGTTCTGTTTGCTGTCTGCCAGGTAGGGGTCGCCCAGCACCTCCCCACCCGCGCTGCAGCCACCCTTCCCTGCTCAGAGCGCCGCCTCCGCCGGCCCTGAACACCCCACCCCCGAACAGCTCCCTAGGAAAAACATGCGTCCACGCCGCGGTCCACTGCACACGCCTTCCAGCACTGTCACGGCCGCCTCCCCTCACACGCACACGCCCCACTCTGTGCCTCCCCGGGGTCCCCCCTGCCCCGCACTGCTCCCCCTTTCTGCACACGCCCCTGGACAGCGCCCCCAGGGCACCCGGATCCCAGCACCCCTTTGCTCACTGCCTCAGCTCCCCGCCGCCAGCTGAGCCCACGCCCACACCGGCGGCCTCGGGGTGCAGCGTGGTGCCCCCCATTCCCAGCGTCCCCGCCCGCTGTCCTCACTGGGCCTCCCCGCACCCCTCTTTCTCTGCCATCGCTGCATCCTAGCCTCGCCCACTGGAAACTCCCCGTGGAGGAGGGGGCGCCCCTCGATCCAGAGTCACCCAGGACCCCGGGTCCCCCCGCGCCCGCGGGCGTCGGCGCCCACTCACCGGTTCCGAGGACGCCGCGCATCTGCGGCAGGCGGCTCCCCCGGCCCGGGATCCCCGCAGCCGCCTACCCGGCTCTGCCCCTCCCCCTGCGCTCCAGCGCCGGGGCTCGCGCGCCCCAGGCCAGCATCGCCGGTGCCTTCCGGTCCGGGCTCCCTGGGGTCCCCTCTTTTCTCCACGCCGGAACGGAGGCTGGGTAGAAAGTTCTCCGAATCGGAAAGCCGCTTTGGGAAACTCAGCCGGGGCCCAGGCTGCCTGGGTGGGTGGCTCAGCAGAGCCAGGTCTTCCCCTCCCTCCCCTCCCTCCCCTCCCCCTTCCTCGCTCCCCTCCCCCTTCCTCGCTCCCCTTTTTCCTCGAGGGCCAGGTAGTGACGTTTGGCTGTCTCTTAGCAACTGCCTCCACAGCTCTGAGCAACAGGAGAACTGGCTGTGGACCCCACCGAGGCGGGAGAGGAGAGAAGCACTCTGGAATTCACAGCACCCCTGGGTCCCAGGGCCGGGAAGGAGGGGAGGGGAGGGGACAGGGCACCAGGGCCACAGGATGCCTGGAGCAGGGCAGGATCTGGACTCTCAGGGGGGAGAGGGAGAGTCGAAGGACATCGACCCCAGGGGCAACAGGGAGTGGAATGGAGAAAGGGACACAGAGGTGGGGGAGGCAGACTCAGGGATGGGCGCTGAAGGCAGGAACAGGAAGGGAGAAGCCGGACTCTCTCTCTGCTCCCCTGGTGGGCTTCTCGTTCATCCCGATGCAGTGTTCCCCCATCTTAGTCTCTGTTGCCAGGGGACTGGCAGAGGCTCCTGTGGAAGCCAGACCTTGTCTCTGTCCCCAAGCCCTGGCCCCTGGTGCTCTCCGGAGCTGAGCTTTGGTGAAGTAGACCAATGGCCATGGCTTTGGGGCCAGAGAGCCCAGCAGGGATGCAAAGACCCAGTGGCTGTGTCAAGAGGGTCTCCCGGCTGTGCGGACCCCGGAGTCTGTCTCTAGGGTGCTGGGAGCTTTGTCTTGGGATCCTCTTTCCTTTCCGCAGGTCACAGGGATTGTTTCTGTTGTCCTGGTCCCCTAAGCAAGGGTGATGTTTTCTCAGCACCTTCTTCTTGCTGACCCCCTGAACAAGTCTACTGCTCTCCTGCCTTTTACAGAACTGGCATGGCGGTTGGTTTCATCCAAAAGTTGGCTCATTTCCTTTTTTAAAAATAAATATTTTTTGAACATCCACCGGATGCTGGGTATTGGCCAGATGGTGGGATTATACCTGTGAAGAGGATGGGTGAGGCAAGTAGTTTCTGGAGCAGATGCTGGTTCTGCGTTTGCAGTCAGTTAGCCTGGGGCCTCTTGGTGTAGTCTTTGCAGGCCTTTGGGGGAAACAAAACAAAGCAATAGAAAGCAAGCGTGCACTACACAGAGTCTGGGCATTTACAAAGTCGTCGGGGCTATTGACATTGTCCTCCCTTATTCCCTTTCCTACATGGGGGTAGCAAGCCTGTGCTTTCTTGTACTATGAACATCTGAATCTTGAATGTGCAGCGGGATCTAGTGCATGAATATTTGTATATCAAATCACCGAGGTACCTGTGATTTCCACCTCCTCCCCTTCTGAAAGAAACCAGTGACTTCTCAATCTCATTGATGATTTTAGAAATAAAAATCTTAATCTTAAGTCAGAAAATGCATGAACACATGGCCGTATATAATCCAAACAAAGTTAGCATCATGGTTTATTAACTAAAAAAGGGCAGAAAACATGTTTATCTCAGTGGAAATAACTGTGAATGATAATGATGAAAGTCTAAGAAAGGGATTCAGTAAAATTCTATACTGAATGTGGACTATAAAAATGGAATAGAGATTTTTCTTCCTTTGGATAATATGACGTTTATAGTTACAATCAGAACCAATAACATGGCTAAAGGAAATGTAGTGACAATTTCCTTCAGAAATCTGATGTAGGCAAGATTGGTTCATTACGGGTTGAGACTTCAGTTTTCCTTCTGTGAAGTAGGAATAGCAACCATGGCACCCAGTGTGGTTATTTCATCTCTGTGAGTTGTTATTAAGTAAGCGCTGGGCACAATAGACAGTGAGCATGACAGATAGGTCTGGCAAATAAGCAACTAAACAGCAGAGTACAGAATTTCTGAAATAGTTATACAGAAAGGAAAACAAATAAATTGCATCAAAATGGGAAATGAGGAAAGGAAAACATCGTATTAGCTATGAGTTGAAGGTATTCTGCTACAAGACAGGTCGCACGCTCTCCAGGAAACCCCAAGCGAAGAACATTATCCTCACATGTGATATCTGCTGGAAAATTGGAGGCGCAATGAGGCAGAAATGTCTTAGATGATTTTTTACTTGTAATCACTCTATGACTCAAAAGGGATCCTGTCAGTCCCAAACTAGTGGTTCATGGTACACTATACAACATGAGAAAAATGCTTGTTCTCAAGTTTGAGAAGCAATGCATTCAAGAAAATGAAACAATTTTTTAATTGGAAGATTTCTCAGAGGTTGTAATGTACAAGGGGTCATGATAAATCTTGAAGTGAAAGTACTAGGTGGTAAAGGATACACATTTTCCAGCATTTCTTAAACTTATTTTGGACCCCTATTTCTACTCTTCCTTCTTCCCTTTTTCTTTTTTCCTCTTCCTCTTCCTTCTTTTTACTATTAATATTGAGAACACTTTTTAATGGAGCATAGTTTGGGAAATACTGAGCTAAAATTTATTAAAGACAACTCCTTGTTCAAATGTCTTCACTCTAGTATGAGTAGTTGGCTTCTATAGAGGTTATTTCTTTTTGTACAAAGACAGGTTTGTTTTTTTTCTGGTACTGGGGATCGAACTTGGGTCCTTGCACTTGTGCAGCAGGCAGCGAAACTACTGAACTAAATCCCCGGCCCATCTTTTTGTACAAAGAAATGTAGCTTGTCTCACTTTATGGAAGTTTTCATATATACAAAAATAAATCCATGTGGAGACACTGAGCGTGTGGTTAGCTGCTTCCCTTTGAAAAGTGACTTTCTCCTGAACAGTGGTCTTGCAGGGGGTGTGGTTGAATTCTGAACCCCAGCAAAATGATATATGAGGCCATATCATGGCCTCTCAGGAACACTTAAGTGTTCTTTTTTTTTTTTGGTACCCGGGATCGAACTCCGGTCCTTGCGCTTGAGAGGCAGGTGGCAGAACCACTGAGTTAAATCCCTGGCCCACTCTCAGGATCTCTTGTAAGTTATGCAACCTGTGACCATCGAGGACTTACTCTACTGGGAAAAGACACAGAAATCAATCAAAGACTTGTAGAAAATGAAATGAGTTGAAAAAATAATTTCCATTGTTATGGTTCCCTCAATCCACGGTCCATTAGTTCTAACAAGGACAGAAAAACCCTTGAACACATGAGAATTAATCTAATCTACTCTACCCCATAAGAAATTTATTCAGGGAAAATTGTGAAGCTGTAGTAGAATGAAGGTAGAGGAAGAAATGGAAAGCAAATCTGTCTTATTGCTGGGAAGATTTAAAAACAGGAAAGATGATGCTACATTATCACAGCTTAATGAAGCCTTTAGCAGAGTCTCATGAGGTGGCAGTGGAGCCATCTGGAGAAGAAAACCAGCAGGATGCAGCGAGGAGGGTGATGGGTGGTGAGGGTGATGGGAGGCAGAGAGAGGTGCAGGGCAGAGTCACCGGCTGACAGCAAGGATGCACTGCAGGTGGAAGTTTGCCTCGGTGGCGTTATTGGTGTCTACGCTTTCAAAACCAATCTATTAGGCTTCCAGCAAGTGATTCCCACTCTCAGAAGACAGAGTGTAAAAAATGGGAACCAGAACAACCTTGAAAATAACCTCAGGGGAAGAAATGTCACTGAGATATGAGCTTCAGACTTCATTTATCCTGCATTAGAAAAACTCTAAATGGTCCAAAGAAGGAAAGAAAGAACAGCAAAATGTCAATCGGGATGGACAGGTTAGCACACTGATCCTAGCTGTGGAGAGAAGGTGTCATTCTGTGTGCCAAGGAAATGGATGATGTCATGAGGGACGGGATAGCTCTTGACAAATCTGTGACAGTAAAAAGGCCACAGGGTTTTACTGAGCAAAAAAAATGATGGAACAAAATAAGAGAGAAAGGAAAGAAAATCGTAGAAAAATAGATTTTAGACATAAATGTGTGAAATACATGGAAAATATATTAAGAGATGCTACAAACATAGTTTTTATAAATTGATATATGTAAATTGCTCAGATGGAAATATAGGAGACAATGCAGTGTTCCCTTGGGACAGGAGGCAAATGGGCCCTGAAGATACACACATCCCAGGGCTCAAACCTGCGAATGTGTTACATGGCACAAGGCCCAGTGAAGATGTCATCAAATGCAGGATCCTGAGGTGGAGAAATTATCCAGGTGGCTTTAGTGTCATCACAAAGATCCTTAAAACAGAGAAGGGGAGGTAGAAGGGCCAGAGAAGGAGGAGATGTAAGCGGAGGTTGAAGATGCATCGGTTCTGGCTTCAGAGACGAAGAGACAGTGCAGGAATGGATGCAGAAAATCTCTAGGAGCTGCAGCAGACAAGTCCTCTCTCAGGGCCTCCAGAATGGATGTAGCCGGAGTAGCCTGTTCCAGGCTTCTGACTTCCAGAACCATGGGATAATAATTGATTGCTTTAAGCCACCAAGTGTGTGATAATTTCTGATAGCAGTGATAGGAAATCAGTACAGTCCTTGGGATTACCACCTCCTGGTTGAGTCTTAGGATGAGATTTCCAACCAGTCGACTGCGTATTAATCAAAAGAGAGATGACCCAGGTGGGCCTGACCTAATCAGGGAACCCTTATCAGGACCTGACTCTTCATGAATGAGAGCGGACTGCAGGGATGTTCTCCACTGCCACTTCCGAGAGTGGAAGGGGATGTTTGGAAAGGACTTGAAAGTGGCCTCTAATTGCTGA